ACTCGCGACACAGGATTTCCCTAGTTCGGGGCTTTGTTGAGTGTGTGCGTTATTATTATTATTATATAAAAAAAACACGGTTGAATTGAGAACCTCCTCCTTTTTTGAAGTCGGTTAAAAATCGTTTTGCATGATTTTTGTTTTTTATTCTAGAAAAATACATTAGTGACTCATAATATATTTTCAAGTAAAATGTCTGAGTAAAATCGTTATTAATTTTCCTCCATAAAATCAAAACAGTATAATCGAAACAGTTCTGTGAATATTGACTCAGGCAGGATGTAAATTAATACAAGTTTACAAAATATTGTTGTACTTGCAATGTACGAGTAACACGATGTTTAAAAGCTTGTATTGTTGTTTATTTTTATAACAATTTACATATTCTTCCGCTTTCATGTTTCTAACCCATCAACTTTTGCGTACTATAGGAGTATATTTTTACAGACACATTAAAAAAATCGTAGGCTGTGAATAATAAAAGCTTCGCGAAAAACTACGCAGTTAGATGTAGCTGCTGTTCAATAATAGGTTCCAAGCCAAAATAGTTCACTTTTTATTTATATCTGTTCAGAAACAGTTAAATTTTACTGTCAATAAAACGTAGACTTTTCGTCATCATTTACTTGTCGAACATGACGTTGGACAAGCGAGTAGTCCACTTGCAAACAGCGCTATGTGACATTTCTAATGATTTTTAGATAATGACGTGAAATGGATCAGTATTTTAAATAATTTCAAATACTCTAACAATACAGTGCCAAAACTTGGTATATTCTGAATAAATCAGTGTCAAAAGTTGACTGCTCTTGTAAAAGTCGCTATCTTTCTTAGTTTTACACTTTCGAAAGTTTCCATTTTGTCGTCAACCTGCAAACGCTGCTCGTTGAGCATAAACTCGTACAAAATTCGTTATTTTGTTTGGTATTTATTATTTTGTCATTCGAGAGGTCCCTCATGTTCATTTATTAAAAACTTGATCGAGATTGGTTTATATACGAAATTCTTGAATTGTATACTCATTATTAGGCAAGTACAATTAAATGTGACTGGATAGATTCAAGTTGTATTTTTTACTAATATTATAACAAAACTAGCCATGTTATCGTAGTGTTGTTGCAAAACTAGCTACGTTAATTCTGGACAATTGCAAAACTAGTTATTTTAAGATTACTATTGCAAAACTCTCTATGTTCAATTTTTAAACGGAAATAAAGTAAAAAGTTCAATACTGTGATTTTGTTTTGTCATATTGTTTATCTCTTTTTTATTACAATTTTCAGATAATTAAAAAGTACCATTTCAAAATCCATTTTCGGAACAACAATTTTTTTTTTTTTTAGTTTATACCTTTTTTTATTCATGCATATAATGCAGTTTGCTAGTCGATTACTCCAGTAAATGATTTATCGCCTTCACGCGCTAGATAGGCCGCTTTTTTAATATGTTCCAGACATAGACATATGTTCCAGATGTACAGCTGTTTTTAACATACGCCACTATTCGAGAAAGCAGTCAATATGTCAAAATGTGTGTCATACATGATTGTGCTAACATCTTTTGCTGTTAATTATAGTCCAACGCTCGACAGGCAGGTGAATTCGCGATAACAGTAACCCGGCAAGTTAATACTCTTACACATTATTTCATTTTTATTCATTTTTATAATACTAAATGACGAGACGAATAGTTGCAGTGTCACTTAGAGCTTTAAATCACAAAGATCTGTGGGGAGAACCTTGAGACATAAATTGACAAGTCTCGTGTGCCTGAAATTTCACTAGTACCCTTACCCTTCGAATACCGGAACGCAGTAATGTTCACATCACTGCTTGGTTGCAGAAATAGGTAAGGTCGCAGTACTTCCTTTGACGAACTCTTTCACTAGGACCTCCTCGCCATTATGTTAATATAGTTTTTGGTTTTTATTCTTTTGTATTCTTGAATAAATACGTTCCTTTAAGATCCCAAAGGATTTATAATTATTTCGCCTTTCTCCCTCTATTTAAAACGTACTAGGCAAGCGTCTCGCCAACAGATAGAAAATTTTTCATCTCTAGAATCCACACCGTCGTCGATTTTTTACAATAAGCACAGATAAACAATGGCGTTTCTCCACTACTCCAGACCTAACATCAGTCGCCCTCACAAGGGCTCGTAATATCGTAATCATAAACAGAATCACATCGTCAAACAATTATTAATTGACTGTAATTGAAAATTGTTCACATAACGAACACTTATAACGAATCCGTCACATCCATCATATTTTCACAAACAAAAACGCGGCAATAACCCACTTCACGAGACATTATACAAACATTATATACACACAAACTTACAACCGACAACTGACTGTCTTCAATTAAAAACTGGCGAGCGGCCAGGGAAAAAAATAATTATTAGAAACATATGTAAGTACGTTCACCTTTGATGTTATAGGATATTTGGTGTTAATTGTGGATTGACCCTTTTAGTTAAAATGTCAGTGAAGCACTTTACTCAATAATATTTTTCAGCAAACACGAAAATTAAGGTGAAGTATTTCAATGCGAGCCTACATTTTAGGAAGTGAGGTGTGGGGGGGCCGCACATATATGGGGGCCGCTCCTCGCGTCCCGCAACCCGTGGGCGAACAATATAAAGAAATAAAATAAGAAATAAAAAGATTAAAATAAGACAAGGCGGAGAAAACTTGACACAGAACCGTCTTCGACAAGCACCTGATGGCGACTGAAACGCCTTTTTAAACGTTTAATGTGAATTTATTTATTAATAACTATAAGGCTGCAGCTGAAAAGTAAAATTTAGAAGGTTCTCTGTAGTATTTAAAGAGAAATATGTCCATATAAAAACTACGTGCAAGGTTAGATATTTTGTTCTTAAAAAATCCGTTTTATATTTTTATTTTAACCTGTTTTCAGGATTTTGTTTGATCAAGTAAAGTACGTCCTATCGTGAAACAGATTAGCAAATTCTTTAGACTAAATCCTTAGATGTAACATATATTTTTTTGGAAGACGGTTATTTAATAGCTTCGAGTATATAACCAGAGATAGAGAGGAAATATGGGTCATCTATCCCTGGTAACTCATCAGTCAAATATTACTGTTATCACTTTTAAATATCAACTCTCGTTTGCGTACAGCGCCAACAATTGACCTGTGTGTACGTCTCCGTATATTCCAAAAATATTCTGTATTTATTGTAATAAAGATAATGTCTTTAACAATGCCGTGCTGTTCTATTCAGTGGTGTGGGAAAAACAGCAAAACATCTAATTACAAAACAAACGGAATCAAATTTCATCGGTAATTAAATATTAAATTACGTACTTTTCAACTTTGGTACCTACCTGTTTTCTGTATACACAATCATTGCTGGGTTACCTCTTGACTCAATCAATTCACTTATTGTATTCTATTAGAAATTATAAATGAACTAAACCACTAATTACAAACTACCACTAGTTATAAATAAATGTATTTAAATATTACAAGATAGAATAGCTGGAAATATATTCACAAATATAACTTCTGTCTATTGAGAAATAGATTACTATAATGTCAGAACGAAAAACGCGTAATGCAAAACATTGTTTACACTTACTGGTTACTACAAACATAAAAAGTACCATTTTGCTTGACCTCTTTTTCACTGGTAATGTTTTGAATTAACCTCGATTCTATGGCAACTTTCGGAAAAAATACTTTGGATTTATTTGTTGTTGAAATAAAGAGTTATTTACTACTTTATTTATTTAATTTAGAATTTAAACAGAGTACAATTGTTTAACATTAAACATTGTTCTACAAGAATGGATACACATTATGACTACAGGATGCTAACGAATCTCAATAATAATAACATTCACACAATGAGAATGATAACGTCATACACAAAAAACTATTTTTTTTAACGTCATTTTGGATTTGAGAGTTAATGCAAAAGCCCTCGTGTTCGCTGTTTGCCTAGAATTTGCTACATGACGTAGTGACGTTATGCTGTATAAGAAGAACGGGGCGTAGAAGACAGTACAACACTGAAATTTTTTTTGGTAGTGACGGAGATCTCTGAGCTGTTAAGCAATTTACTAGTAATACCGTGAAAGATATGGTTTTTTTGGACAGTGTCGTTTTGCTGTGGTTTTGCATTAAGACTAATATAGTACAGGAATGCTGAGCCAGATCTACGCTGGTTAGTGGATATGTTATAGAGTAATGTATCATTTTATTTTCAAGGTTTAAAATCAAATTTCATGCCATTGTTTTTTTTATGAAACCTTTGTAAATAGTGATGTGGTAGTGGTAGATGAAAATTTGTATACCTAATACTTCTAAAACTACGTAGGTTCCCTTTTCTTCAAAAAAAAAATCTTCGTTGAGTAACAAATTGCAATTATCACAATTTAATTGCTCATTACTCAAAATAAAAAAAGTTGCATTGTGTCACTGTCATTTTCAGTATGCGATATAATAACGCACACACTCATGGCCTCGCACTAGGGAAACCCTACCGCGGTGCCATAGACACACATATAGACACCACATATAACACCCAATCTCACGAGAGAAATCAATGTAGACCACGCAAATATTTCTCCCGGCCCGGGAATCGAACCCGGGACCTCTGCATACCAGTCCAGCATGGTAACCGTTCGGTCACAGAATAACTAAATTCAATTGAACAAAAGAGTATAAACTAACACTTATTATGGTTATATGATAAAAGTTTAACTAACTGTTTAATACACACATCAATTTTTTTTTTCAGAAATTAACAAAAATGTGCTTGATTCCTAGGCACTTTTGATGTGCGTATTTGTCAAATAACATGGTTCCAAGCCTAATAACCTCTGGTAAGATGATTAGTTTTGACTTTGCCATATTTATTTACCAGTTTCGAGTTATTATGCCAGAAATGCGATGACTTAAAAAATGGAAATAGGAAAAAATTGTAATCGTCCATTATTTGTTTATTACAATAACATACTATATCATCAAAATGACGACATTATATTTTACAATTTCCCATCAATATTGTTATTATGGTCTTTCGCTAATTCTTTCAATAACTGCAACTTAAGATTGTCATCCTTGCCAGTTTTTCCCATCATTCGTCTTAATAATTTCTTCATTTCTTCTTTGATTTCCTCCTTAGGCGCTTCTCCTCTTGGTACTTCGGGCTTAATTTCAGCATTGATTTGTTGTTTAACACCAGTGTTTGCTTTTGCTTGTTCCGTTAACACATTTTGATTTAATTCTTCTTTTGCCTGTCCTGTCTCTATTTTCGAGGATACTGCATCTAAAGGTATTCCTGACACCACATCAAGCTTAACAGCCTCGTTTGGTGATGAAGAGTTATCCTTCGAAGCTCTAAATTTAGTATCCCAGTCAGCTACGGTAGCATTATAGCCTAGGTTGTACTCCTTCTCCGCAACCTGGATACTACTAGGAGTAGGGTCGTCATCGACAGTTATGACACCGCCTTTCTCAACACATTTCTTGACTTTCTTTACTAAGACAAAGGCTTCCTCTTCGACAGTCCTGATGACCTCAATAAGGCATGCTTCGTGCATGGCTCCATGGGCCATCAGTTTTGTAAGCTGGACAACTCCGTCGACTAATTTTGCCGAAACACCCATCATCGCTGATTTGATTTGAGGAGACTGAAACGCAAAACGTTTATCAAAGCTTTAATCAAATTCCGAGTATTTATATTCCTAATCAGTGTGCGACGACAAATTGCATTTTGTCGAGCTATGCATATATACCGAAGTTGATGTTTTCCAAAAATAGTATTTCCGAGAGCATTTATTTTCGCTCCCAACGGATATGAGCGAATTTCTGACGAATTTACGAAATGACCTAAATCGAAGCATACTAAGTAACTCATATTAACAATAATGTAACATACTTCATTAAATTATTTTATCAACAGTTTATGTTAACCTACTTCGAATATGATTTAATACTTAGAATAAGCACATAGGTAAAACAATCGACCACCTTGCAATTGCGAGTGTTATTCGGCGTTTGTATATTATTTCTGAATATCGGGAATCCATTCCAGAGTTACAACTTTAGGGCCGTGGCCCAAATAATAGACATAAGTTTGTGTAAGTCAGTTAAATTTAACGCACCTTCGAGATGACGCATTTGATGACCTTCTTCAGGGAGTCGTGGTCGTGACCGCAGATTTTTATGAGGTTGTAAATTTCCTGCCTTTGTTCGTAAATCTGAGAGACGTGAAAAGATTCTATTACAGGATTGGATTAGCTAATAGTAAGAAAATTTTAGACCAAAAAAATCTTGAACTGTGCAATTCATAGCTGAAAAAATATGATTTCACCACTTTCCGTAACAATTATTTAATTAACCCAAAGCTTTAGTGATGCATTGCGATGTTACGATAAAATCGACGACAGGCGTTACGTCACAAAATAATTGATGCGTTGTCCGACACGCGTTTCTTCGACATTTGATGTTCAGTTTGCTCAGTGGAAGAAGGCACTCATACGTATATTTTCTTAATAATAGATTATTTCACTTTAATGTGTCTGGGCATCACAACGTCTGAATGTGCAATAATTTTCGAGATCGCTAGGTAAAACGTCTACCGACAGACGTTGTACTATGAAGACGACAATAGAAGAAAAAGGAAACAGAATCTGGATGCATCAGTTTTATTTTTCATTAAAATTCGAAACTAAATAATATTATAATTATATTTACTTCCGTCCATAGAGCAAACTGGTAACGTCGCTTTTGGTGAGGATAAATCGAAGGACGACTTCGCAGAATTTGAGGAGTAAGATGGTATGCGGTCTTGCTAGATTTTTGTGATCGTAATGCGACAGACGTCACAGATTTGTGGGAGTTTGATGCGACACCGCACTACTCGGCACATGTAGTGCGACAGATAACGTCTCAGATTTTATCAAGCGTGATTCGTCGGGCAATGTTGTAGATATGAACAAGAGTGATGCAACGGATGACTGCGTAGATGTTGAAGAATATGATGATGCAGATGATGACGTAGATTGTCTTGAAGATAATGTGATAGGTGATGACTCAGATTTTGATGAAATTGATGTAACGGAAGGAATCCTAGCCTTTGGTGAGTGTGATGAAACGGACGATAATGCAGACAATGTCTCAGACATCAGAGAGCGTGATGCAGCGAGTAACAATGGAGATTGTGAGCTAAAAACGTTGCTTCGCTGTGTTATATCTGGGCCGTTATCAAATTTATTTTTATTGACTGTCAGATCAGTGTAGTGTCCCACGTCTGTGGATGCACTTACAGGTTTCAACCCGGTGTTAATCATGTTCTTGAGCTCTATGACGTTGCGCATGGCTTGCGCAGGGTCATGGCCGATCAGTGCATAGCCGCAGACTACCATTTGGTGTAAAGCTTTCTCTGCTAACGCTGCTGTATCGTTTTGTTTCTTCATGAGACATTCATCTACCTGCAAAAGACCACACCTATAAACTAACTCTAAAGATAAAGAAACACTGTATACAGGCTGAACAATGCTTGCATAACTGCTGCTGTTAGTTGCTAGTGACTTCACCGTAACTAACAATGGTCGTTTACATATAGCGAGGTTACTTTATTGGTTGATATTTTCGATCCATTTTAAAAAGACCAATCGCTAACATTGGTCTTTATATAGCTATATCATTTCATTTCATTTCATTTACAAGCAGTAGCAAAGTTGAAACATGCACAGTTAGATCTCATACATTTAGCATAATGACTTCCACATAAATTTTGATGGAAAAATTCTAAAAACATCTCGTTACCAATTCTGCTTTCTCTTTCTTCATGATGTCCAACGCATCCTGTAGCTCCACCAGCTTATCCTGGATGTGAGAAGTCCCATTTTGCAGCAGCAATTTGATCTTTGTCAGCACTGAGTCCACTGACCTGGTAATTCAATAAACACCTAATTTTATGACTGTGTTATTGCTAAACTACAGAATACTTTTTTATGGAAGGTATTAATGGACTTCTGGATTAATTGACCTCACACACGTTTCTGGTGAACAAGATGTAAAGATTTGGCGTTTCTTTTACATGTTATAAAATTATAACTTATTCTATCGAGTTCTTAAGTTTTCATAATTGTTACACATTGAAAATGAAACTATTCTTTACGGATCTAACTGGTGTATATTTGTTTTTTCAAACAAACCAATATTTCGACCCTTATATAGAACCCACGATCATGCTTTTACAGGTCTCGAAGTAAAAAGTAAAGGGCCCGAAACGTTGGTTTGTTTGAAAAAAAATAGTTTCATTCCCAATATTTTATTCTAGTTTTTTATTACAGCCGCCGATTATTCGTGTTTACATTATCCAAGTTAACATTTTGTACAAGCTTGTGACGATACAACCTCCGCCATCGTCATTCCGCTTTGTTATCACCTTTTCTCTGGTTCCTGGCCACTTATTTTCAAATTTTGAATCATTCTTTAAATCCTTTGCTACGTCATTCTCGTTACTCTCTACTAAATGTCTGAAGCGAACTTTCCATTTTAAATCATGTGCCTATTAAATACAATAATAATAAAATCTAGTCATATTCCTAAATACGGCCCTTTCGGGGTAAGTCTCCTGTTTTACAATTTTATAGTATTTTTTTTAATATTGTTCCTGTTTTTTAAATCATTTTCTTGTTACAGCCTTTCTTTTACCTTTACCGTATACAATACATTTATGTGGACCGAGTAATCTATTTTATTGCTCCCTATTGGTGGTTTACAACCTTTTCAAGCTGCTTAAAAACTAACCTTTCAAGGTCTACCTGGAACTTCTTTTCGATACTCTGTAGCAGGTCCTCACCCAGTTTATGAGTGATTTCATCCTCAATCACTTTGTCTATGGTCTCTTTTTCTAGTTCATCTGCGCGGGTAACCTGTAATATTTTACCATTCAGTTCAATATTTCCTATTTGTACTGGATAATAATTGTTTATTGTAATTTAAAAAAAACTATTTAATTGTGAATTTTAGAGCCAACACAATGTTGCTCATTCGTTTAGCTAAGAACCACTTCTTCTTCTTCTTTCTTCTAAGAACTTTTCTTTCTTGGTAATGTAACGTCCGAGTCACCCAATTAAGAGCAAGCTGCAGGTATTTTTCAGGTAAACGCTGATGATGAGACTAAGGGTCGTATTCCAGAACTCTACTCAATGCTCAAGTCAGGACTTGAGCAGACTTGAGTATGATTTCAAGCACTAGAAATACGACCCTAATGGCAAGGACTTGAGTATGATTTCTAGTGCTTTAAACCATACTCAAGTCTTGACTTGAGCATTAAGTAGAGTTCTGGAATACGAATATTAGAACCAGATTGCATTTATTAGCCAATGTCGTTACATTTATATTAATCTAAAAGCTCTGAATAGTATACTAATGCGTTGAATACACAATCAACCAATAAGAGGGCTTACATTATTGCAAGAGCGAAACAGATGTATATATATAAAACGTACTCGCTGTGGTCATATAAATGAAATCTAATTCCATTCTTAAATATAACATTTATACTGCACCTGGAATAAATTTCAACTTGATGTCTCTATTATTCTCTGTTTTATTGAAATACAAAATTGTTATTGAAAAACCATATAAAAAGTCGAATTAAATATTCCATTTATGAAATGAACATACACAAGTTGACCTCAATATCGCGTTGTGTGAATTTCTGTGTGATATGGAGGAAGTAAAAACTTAAAAATAAAAAATCATACCATAGAAATGTCCCAAAACACCATTCGATATAAAACATAGAAAGAACATCATTGACTTACAATTATATGGACGCCGGGTCCGCGCTAAAAAGTGTCCGCACTTGTAAGGCGCTAAAATCGTATACAGAGCGTCAAACTCCGCTTTAGTCTTCATTTGTTCTACTGACAGCGCGATACTGCGATGACATTACAATTTAAATTTCGAATAGGTTGACTTGGGACTTTTTTTTCGTGGTTTTTGTATTAGACCCGTCGTCCATTTATTTGTAAGTCAATGAAGAACATCATAAAAATAGTTTTAATAAAATAATGCATCGAAAAAACAATAAGTAACTCACCACAGATATAAAAAGCAAGGCATAAATACTTCTCAGGCATAGCGAGACAATCATATTAGAAAAGAACTTAAGAAAATAAAAATAGAATTTATTTCTATTTATATTTTGTAAAGTCTGTATAAAAAATGCGATATCGCCGAACCGAAAATAAAAAGGAGTGTTTACGATCAAAATTGTTGTTAAACTTGATTTTATTGCTATTGAAGTTTGGTTT